TTGAATGTAAACCATTATTTACGTTGATTTATTTATAAAAATTTTTATTGTAACACATAATTTTTAGAATTTATTTGATTTTTCTAGAATGATGATCTTCCCCAAAAACTGCAATACCATTTATAGCAAAATTCCTGACTGAAATAGTGAAATGATGCAGAAACTCATCGCACTGAATGCGAAATATCCACTTACTCAACACCAAAAGTATAAACATCATATCTGCATTAAATCATATTCAGATTCAAACGGTAATAAATTAATACCTTCTCCATGTCTTGCAATGTCAAAAGGTGTTGCTTACAACTCTCATCAGAACTTTCATCTGCCAATTTTCTCAAAACTTCCAAAACTTGCATGCAATCTACTTCTTCTTTATTCACTCCACATCTTTCCAATATTTATGCAACACTTGGAAATTGTGATTTGATTAAGAGGTTCATTTTTTAGAAATTCACCTGATGAAACAGATGATGTGGGCATGTTTAGTAATTTGTAGTAAAAAAAAAATATAAAACTATGCAAATTATGATAACAAGAATATTTCGTAAATGTTAATAAAATCTATATACTGCCCTTTTTTAAACGTTTTCTTTGAATTGATAATGCAGAGAGATAAAGCAATGTAAATGCATATTTATGTCAAGAATTCCCCTCGCAAAGAAAAATGAATGCTAATTAATCGAGTTTGGTTAATCACACAAATAAACATGCATACATATTACATTATTATGATCAATAATACAATTCCAACCAAAGTCATCAGGATCATTGTTAAATTCTTCCAAACAACACCTTGCATCCTCATACATTCTTTCAAGTTGATCATCCTTATATATAATGAGTTCAGGCTCGGTAATTGGCTCAGGAGCAGGCTCTCTGCTGGGATTCTTCAGATAATAAGCTGTCTATGAATTCATTCATGCGTAGCTTTGTCATCATTGCTCTGATGTTGTGGCTATTTTTTGGCATTACACTAAGAATCCAGACATTTGGCAGGACTTTTTTAGGTCCGGGTGTAGAAGATTTACTATATTCAGCAAGAAACTCAATTTTGAAGGATTCTGTATCTTTTAGTGGGATAACCTCACTTGGCAACCTTTCAATGAGAAGAACTTTCCATTTATTTTGTGGGCTGGTATCAAAATTTTCTTGATCATCGATCATTCTTTTTCTGAAATATAGCATAAATATCAGTATAAGACTTTTCATACCACTGAAGTTTCTTATTAGATTTTTGGTCTTGCTTAATCTTGATACCTATTCCGTATGTTTTATGCAGAATCAAAAATTATCCTTTCAGTATGTTGCACATTCCGCACCTATCTCACACCTATTAATTAATAAGTAACAAAATAATCAAATCTTACTGATTTAATTATAAACTCATTAATTGATGTCTAAATTTAAAAAAGAGTAAATCTTCCAATTCACATAAAAAATATGTTTATTTTTTTTAGAACGTGTTTAACATACAGAAATTCCATACGTTATTATTATTTTTATAGGGCTAGCATTCAATCAATGTCCTCTTGAATCTGAAAAGGTATATTTTGACAATATTTTGGTATTTCGAGATCGTTTAATATTAGTATTAGGCATTTCAGCCTAAATTTCAAATTATAAAATAATTCGAAGAAACATTTTGACCAACGACAACTCTAACGGATCATTGGATAATATTAAGTGCATCCTCAGAAGTAATAAAAATTACTTTGTTGTTATCGATATCCAGACATCATATAACAATCCCTATTTATCATATTCAGATGAGATAAGCCTTGGCGAGTTTTAATGTGCGAGAAAAAATGATGGTTCGAGATTCGAGCATGATTAGATGATTACCACACAGCTACCATAAGATCGGGGTACATGCTAACATCAGTTTAGTGCGTGATTTTTTCTACTTATTCTTTTTTTTGTATTCCAAATGGATTTGTGTATGAACCATATAATCGATATCACTACTATCTCTCTCAACATAGTCAAGGTGTTCATCTCTGAGGTTTTCGAGCTAAATCAGGCTTCAAGTGATCCAACTCTGTGATTTTCAAGCATCCACTGTGGATAATTTGACTTTGAGGGATCAATATCATTTGACTCGGATCCTTTCTGAAGCTAGTTTTGTTTCCAATATCTTTATCCTAGACCAAAATGAATTCGCCTCTTTCGTTTTCTAGTAACAAATATGTCATGTGATTTATGTTCGATTTTATTGGCCGAGTCATACGGGCGAAATTTGGCACAGTTTTCAGAATAAAGAAACCTGCATCAAATGTAGGGCTTCTATTCGTAATACTAATACTAATACTAATACAGTTGATCTTTAATTCGAATTAAAAAATTTATTCGAATTAATATTAAAAATTTAATTCACTTTATTCGAATTATTTGTTTTATTCATTATTGGAATCTTGGGGTTTGTTCATTCATTTTATTAGATTATTTGGAATCATGGGTTGTTCAATTACTTAAATATTCAAACTATATATACAACAAGGTTTATTATTATAAAAATTGAAATTAAAAATGAAACTAGTAAGGAAAGACTGAAACAAGATTCATGTTTCTTTTAATAAATAGCAATCTTTCCAGTGAACTTGAATTTAAACTGGACCTTAATTATTTTTTTTATCCGAATTAATTTTTCGAATTATTTGCTTTATTCAAAATTAATTCTCTTATTCGAATCAATTTTCTTATTCGAATCAATTTTCTTATTCGAATCAATTTTTTATTCGAATTAATTTCCTTATTCGAATCAATTTTCTTATTCGAATTATTCGTTTTATATTAAAATTTATTCGAATAAACTTTCAATGTAATTCGAATAAGAAAATTAATATTAATATTAATATTAATAGCGAATAAAGTGGATAATTCGAATAAACCTTATTCGAATAGAAGCCCTAATCAAACGTTGCGAAAGCTGACACAAACATATAAAAGAATATATACCAAAAATGGAAAGAAATAATATGCACAAAGGACCAATGAATTTATCAGCTATGTATTAGAAAACAATAAATATAATTACATCAATTGATCAAGTAAAATTGACGGTAAAAACAACACAGTTCATAACGCTTAATATCCGGAAAACAGTAAAAACTAATTCACAATTACGTAGACCCTGCGTGAAATATTGAAAACAACAGGGATTTGCATAGAATATATGTTTATCTACGTAGATTATTGACAAAGACACGGGATTTACGTAAATATATTATATAATATGTATAATTTTGTCCCAATGTGGTTAGGAAGACAAAGTTTTTATTTTAAATTTTGTACTATTATATATCATGATTTAAAAAATAACAAAGAAGCAATAATGAACGATACTTTCGGACAAAACCACGCGAAAACAATTAATACTTTTTTAACCAGCCCATATAATTTTCGGGGTCTGCTTTCGACGTATTTTGTTTAGCAATTTAGTGAGAAAATAAAGCAAACTATATTAAAAAACAAATCAAATGAATCTATTTCCCCGAAGGGAAAGAATCAATAACAAAATCGGTTTGTTGGCTAGAGCGGTAGGTATAAAGCTATTGTAATTCTAAATGATTATTATTCTTTGAAGTAAATATCCCTCGGCAAGTTCCATACCAAATGTGTAACTTGCAGCACATGCATGCAAATCTAACCAATATTGAAGTAATACGTCTTGTTTTCCTGATACAGCAATGTTGGCTTTTTTCCACGATGCAGATAACCTTGTATTCCTAATGTAGTCACACTGCTTATAATAGACCCTGACCTTTCTGCATACTTACGATATAGTGAGCTCTCCTTCACGTCAATATTTATGTGTCAAAATAAAAATTTAATAAAATAATATTAAATGTAAAAATTATCCGTCTGATCTAATAATTTATCATCATCGTCACCGCACTGCCACTATTGGAATAACATTTCCTTCAAAAGATCAACAAATTGAAGGTTTGAATATCTTCTTCTCTGGATTAATACATCCTTGCGTCAATTCAATCATGCCACTTTTTCTCTAGAAGGGTTATTTATATTTATATTTTCCAACTTCAGGCTTATTTTAAGGGTTAGAATTCTGACATCATTAAATAACATTCAGGGGTATCATCTGCATCATTCCCTGAATACTAAACAACGATCATGTGACCTTTGTTATAGAGCCGTAGTAAAACTATAAATGTGTGTGTATATGACGTCTGATATCCAAAGGGATTGTCAACACGGTCAATATCAACATCATCAATATCAATATTGAACAACAAAAAAATATAAACATTGCCATTTTATGAATCATCTCTAATCTAATCTACATATATCAATAATTAAAAAATTTATATACTTTACCCCTTAGAAATGTCATATTTAGTAATTTCTTTAAAAAATTATTAAATAGAAATATTATTAATTATTTTTAAGTCAAGGGATCTTGTATGTAAACTATTATCCATTCTAGTTTAATCGAGTAAATAAGGGAAAAAATTTTATTGGATTATACTATTGAGGTAAGAGACAGAAGCTGTTGAAGTATATATATATATATATTTAAAGTGAATATTATTAGAATTAAATTAAATTATATTACATAAATAATTATAGACATTGAATTAAATGATTTCACAAATATAAGATTGAATTCTGTTTCTTTCAACAAGAAAAAGAATAAATAAATATAATATTTCAAAAGCTTGAAATATCTCTACCAAATAAGAATCGCTATTTACATCATTTTTCAAAAAAAAAAAAAAGGAAAAAATTAATATATAGTAAATGCATGTAATTCATTATTGTAATTAAAAGCTCACCTTTGACCAATCAATAGCCAACAATGTCCTAGTTCTAAATGAAACTTGTTCACTCAGATATATACTTCTCCAAAGATATACAGCGGACCAATTACCCATCCAAGTCCAACCCATACCAAAGTCTGCTACGGCTGCATTACCAATATATGCAAGCGAGCCCAAATGAGCATAGTTGAATGGTGCTAATCGATCATCAGTGTCCGGCGCGGGATTATCAGTATCTGTTGAATAATCCAATGGCGTTGGTAGTACATTGGTTTTTGATGCCAGTGCTAGACTATTTAATTTTTTGCCTAAATATTTGCCTTGTTGATGAGCAACTTGTGCTGTCTTTATTTTTTTTTTTTTTTAAAAAAGAAAAGGAATATATTATGAAAGGAAAAAAATTTTGTTTCGAAAAAAAACAATCAGTACAAACCGCAGGTAAAGCAGTAAGTTGTTTATCAATATCATTCAACATTGCTTGTAATTCATCCAGTTCAAGAGTGCCTAATAATAATTTATAATTAAAAAAAATTAATATGAATGTAAAAAATATAATTTTTTTCATAAAGAACATTTATTATTTACCACTTTTATCTATATCATATCGAGCAAATAATGAATCAGCTTTCTTTAAATGATTAGAGGTAATTGGGTAACGTCTTGATATTTTTTTGGCTAATTCATGAAACTCGTTGTAACTCAAACAATTATTTTTGTCTGTGTCAGCATCAATAAAAAATTGCATTAAATTTTGAACTAATTTTGGATTTTCGATAGTGGAACAATCCCCAATCGCATATACACTAGAATCAGGTGCACCCTTAAGACGAAGTCTATTATCTGTAATAAGGGCACGTGTATTTTTTTGCGGCTCTAGTTTGTCTGATATCAATTTCGTTAAAGGGTTCATTGCTAAATATTATTGTTGTTGTTGTTGTTGTTGTTGTTGTTGTTGTTGTTTTGTTGTTGACAGTGAGGATCTTATTAGTAATTGTTATTATTATTATAAATTTTAAAAAAATTTGCAAACAAGATTCTTACAAATTCCAGTTGACCAGAGACACAATCCATAATCAAGTCTTTCTTCTTTATCCCCTTTTTTCATTTTATAAACAATTTGATTTGGTTCGATTTTTTGAACACGAGCATTTGTGATCACATTGATGTTATCACGTTGAAATTTACTCTATATAAAATAAAATATATATCATAAATAAAACCAACTTTTTTTAAAAAAATCCCCCCGGTCAATAACATAGTAAGTAAGTACAGTACCTCGGCAAATTTACTAATCTTTTCATCATATGTATTTAATATATGATCTTGACTTTGAATAATGCTAACTTTCACTTCATTTCTAAGAACAGCTGGGAACTATTAAAATTAAATAATATATATATAAAGATTTAAAATGTTTATAACAAATAAAATTTTTTTAAGGAAAAGGAAAACTTACATATCTGACTAAATCTTCATTCAAAAAGTCATGTAATTCGGCAGCAAATTCCACACCTAAAATATTAAAATTAAAAGGAAAGATGCTCTATTTAATAAAATGCACAGAAAGATTAATAGATTTTAAAAGAAAAATTATTAAAAATTTACCAGTTGGTCCTTTAGGATTCGATTGTATTTGTATAACCCCCCCAAAAAAACATTAGTCATTTCCTTAATAAAACAGAAACAAATAACAAGTTATAATTATACATACCTCCACCGCAGACAACAAAACTTAAAAGTCTTTTCTTCTCTTCGGGTGAAGTTGTTGGTAAAGAAGCCATTTCAAAATTACGAATAATTGTTTTTCTTAATTTACGAGCATCATTTACTGTTTTTAAAAAGTGACAATGTTCGATTCCTTCAATTCCATGAGTAATTGATTGAGAACCTACAGCGATTATAAGCTTTAAAAAAACTATACAATAAATAATTACACACGCATATAAATTATGAGAATAATTAATTAAAAATATATTACTTTATCGTAAGGAACATAAAAAGATTGCGAGAAGTCCCCGGTTGGTTTAACCTCTACAAGTCTTTCATCAAAACAAATATCTGTCGCAGTAGCTTCCAAATAATGTGCATCTATTCCTTTGACTATACTTCTAATTGGCTCTAAAAGTGATCTAAATTATCTAGAAATGATTAGTATAATAATTATAATTATAATAATAATAAGATTGTTTAAAAAAGTAAAGTAATAAATAAAATAAATAATATACCTAGTCTCAAGTGTTCCAACTGTTGCAGATGGAAGTAAAGGTCTAAATTTGGTTTATAACAAATCTTAGTTGTTGTTTTTTAACTACCATAAAATAAACACACGTATATATGATGGGACGTATAGATAAAAAATTAATAATTACGTGAAAAGAAAGTAATTTCTAACGAGATAAAAAAAATTTAGATAATTTTAGTATGTTACAAGATACATTATCATATTGTTACTATATGATTAACAATAAACCTACTGAGGAGAGATCAGAGTAACATGGTAATTATCTTTTTCCAATTCTTTTAAAACTGAAATAGCCTAAATGATATAAAAAAGGTTAAATACAAAAATTATATAAATGCATGCATAATAAAAAAAGAAACCTACACCCCAGCCTGACCCAAGTATAACTATTCTAGGTTTATCTTTTTGAGAATCCTTTTCATCAGTAAAATGTTCAGCAACTGGTAAATTTTTAGGGCCGCCATTCTTACAAGTAATCGATAATAAATCCTTTATTTCATGTTCTTTTGCTAGATTTTCCACTTTTTTATTATCGAGAATTGAAAAAATTACAGTGCCAGTAATAATCAAAGCGCCAATTGTTAATAAACGACGTAGACGTTTTGGTTTTGGTTTATTAACGATTTCTGGTTCTTTGGCAGCCACAGTATCAGCTGTAGTAGTATCAGCTGTCGTTGCAAAGTTATTCTTTGGGAAAACGTGAAATTTTTGATAATTATAATAATTAGTTAAAGTATTGAGCTTCTTTACATTTCGAATTGAGGTTTTTTTTAATGATAATAAATTAAACGAGGAATTGACCAAAATTTTGTTATTTTTAATATTGATATTATTATAATTGTTAACTTTTTTATACGCAATTCTAAACATTTTGAAAAAAATTATTTTTTCTTTATTTTTTTGTTTGTCGAATCTTGATGGAGATCATGGAGATCTGCATTTATCTAGATTTTTATTATTACATAAATAAATAAATAAATATAAAAATGATATTTCAACAAGAAAATACAATGGCAAATGGAAAAGCCTTTCAATTATTAAAAGAACATAATATCGATAATAATAACAACAACAGTTCTATAAAATTTACATCACTATGTCCCACAATGGACTTGATCGCAATTTGTATGGTTTCAGGAGAAGTTTTGGTTGCTAGGTGGTTTAACGCTTTGGAAAAAGTTTGGACCTTACCATCAAATTATTACGAGAGTGATAAAGTGACCGCCATTACTTGGAGACCTGATGGGAAAGTTATTGCCATAGGTTTCTCGAGCGGAAAAATTAAATTGTTTGATGCTGATAATTGTGAAAATATACCAGAGTTACTTCAATCAACCAAAACTAATGGATCAGTAAATTTTATTTTATGGGTAGATGAGAAAACCAATAATAATAATAGCAATAACAACAATAGTAGTAGCATCATTAATGATAAAAATAACATATTAATGTATAACAAAAATCAAATAAATTATTATAAAAATTCACACCCGCTTCAAAAATATTTACCTAGATTGAATACCACATCACGTACAAAAGCATCATGTAAATTATTAGGAATTAAAATGCAACAAGATGAAGAAGGGGAGGGGGAGGGAGAAGTGGTAGGTGGTGTTAATCGAAGTTTTGGAGGTGGAAAAGGAGGAACAGGATCAGATTATTTTTCAGAAGTTGAAAAAAATACAGTTAATTTATTAATAGCAGGTGACAGTGAAGGGTATATATATATGATTGTATATGGTATTTATAGTTTACAGCCAATACTATTAACTCAATCAAATTTAAAAGTTTCTAAAATAATTAAAGCATCAGTTACATCTGATCTTTCCATACTTACATTAATTTACACAACCACAACAATAACACCAAATCAAGAAAAGGAATCAGAGAAGAAAAAGCATCATCAATTGGTTGTGACTACATTTAAAACAGGATTACTCCATACTCACAAAAATCAAATTTTAGCTTTATCACATCGGTATACATCCATCAAATTTATATCAGACTACATAAGAGAATCTCTGGATAAAGTGAAAAATAATTATTTGACAGTGAAAACCATATATGGATCATACTTTGATAAATTTCAAAAAATTATTGATGAACATCATGATGGTGATGATGAAAATGAAAATGAGAATAAGAATGAAAATGAGAATGAGAATGAAAATAAGAATGAGAATAAGAATGAGAATAATGAAGGTAACAACAATAAAATAAAGATGGCAAAATCAAACATGTCAGGAGAATTTGTTGTATTATTAGCAACTGGTAAACCGACTAAATTATTAATGGAATTTATGGAAGTATGTTTAAAAAAAAGAGAATTGAAGGAATGGGAGAATAAAGTTAATAAAGCATTTTCAGAAATACAATCATTAATTGATCATTATATAAATACAGGATTTGAAAGGTTATTGTTGGAATTAAATTCATTAATAGGGTATAGTAAATGGCCACAAAAATTCAAGGGGTTTGGATTATCAGAAAAATTGATACAATCACGATTAATAATTGCTAGTAGCTTAACACCAAAAATAGAAGAATTTTCATTGTTTGTTGATGAGGAAAGTAACAATTTCAAGGATTTTATACATTGGTTACAATATGAGTTTGATAAAGTTACTAGCACATCATCATTAGATCAAACAACACCTGATTCGCCACCACTTGAGGCATTGAATTCAATTGATATAATTAGAGTTTCAAAATTTATAAAAGAATCTTTAAATTTAAATAAATTGGAAAAAAATATTGACTTGTGGAAATTTATTGATGATTTGTTAAATTTTTGTGATGAATTTTCCACCTCAACTGCTCAAAACGTCACTTCTTGTATTGAACCAAAAAATTATTTGAAACTTTTTCAAGATTTCTCAATAAATTTTGATAATGATAATGATGATGATAATAATGATGGTGATGGTGATGGTGATGATGATGACATTGTTGAGAATAATGTTGAAGAAAAAATAAAAGATGATGATGATGATGATGATGAAATGGTTGATGATAATGATGACAATGAAAAGTTATCATCAATTATAAGTAAAAATAGTAATAATAAACAAGTAAAAGATAATGATACTGATGAGGAAAAAGATGAAGATGATTATTACAAGGAAATTGAAAAACAAAAATTTCTTATAGATTCAATAATTTTAAAACAAGAGAATTCAATATATTTTCAATATATAATATTTTATATTTATAATTATTCATCAAAAACTAATAATAATGATGATGATGAATCAATAATAATACCATCAGTTTTATGGATATTAAGATTTCCATTAAATAACAATAATGTAAAAGAGGAGATGGAAGAAGAAGAAAATAGCAATAATGTTGTTGAGATAGCATACATACAATTAAAAAATCAAGAAATACAAACAGAAAATATCAAAATAGTAGATTTAAAAATATTTAATGAAGAAAAATTACATTTAATTATTTCATCACCTGACAAAATTTTTGAAAATTTAAATATTAGTAATGCTCAAGAAGAAATCAGAGAATATCTTATAGAGATAAATTATGTTAAAGATATAAGTTTTATTAAATTACCAAAATCTTTGGATTTAATAAAATTTTCTTCAAATATTAATATTATCAACAACAACAACAACAACAACAACAACAACAGCAACAACAGCAACAACAACAACAACAACAATAGTAATATTTTTATAGTTAATAATATTAACCTTGATAATATCAATAATGATTTTATTGCTATCATTGATCAAATATTAATAAAATTATTAGAATCAACAAATTTCTATGAAAAAGCTTCACAATTAGTAATCAATAAATATAAATCTATCAAACAGCATAAACCTTTAAAATTTATTAGCAATAATATTAAAGGATTAATTTGTATTTTAAGTAGAAACTTGAAAAAATTTGTTATATTGGATGTTAATAATGATGAAGAAGAAGAGGAGGAACAAGGTGAAGAAAATGATGATGATGATAATAATAATAAAGAAAAAAGTGATGATGAGACTCTTGAAGAAGATGATGATTGGAAAAAAATGGCGGTTGTATGAACCATTCCAGAATTATTTAACTTGGTTTGAAGTGGTTTTAATTTTATGATGTTAATGTTTAATAAATCTCTTTACTTGTTCATAAACCACTACTTTTTCTTTGAGAAGTTCAGTACCTATAAAAGGTTCAAAGATTGGGATCTTGACATAGCAACATATGCTTGTCTTATTTTATTTATTTATTTTTATAAAATTGTTATTAACTAATGAATATATATATGAATGCAATCCATTTATATATAATATCTTTTTCAAAAACTTCCAGAGTTTGGTCATGATTTTTATTGCCAAGAAAGATCTGTCATTACATTAAATATATGATAAATATGTAAAGGTTAAAATGTTATTTATACATTCAAATTCTCTATTCTCGGTAAATTTTTACTATAATAACTTGTTCTGATAGCTTCTGATAAAAACCAGCGACGACATCTTTACTCCATTAACCAGCCTTTATTAATATTTTTAATGAGCATCATTTATACATTTCACTTTAATTCCAATTTATCCAACGCCAAATAAGAATCTTTAATATAATATATAATGCACAAGATTTTAAATATTAATATAACTAATATTATCATTGTTTTCATCTAAAGCTTTAACGCTTATAAGTTGGTTTTATGTTATCTCTTTGTTATCATCATTATTGATGATTTTGTACGAACTTTTGGCATATAAACATTAACGGGAAAATCTCCCACAAAAAGGTACTAACTAGTAGTACACTATTTCACGAGGATACATAATAGGTCACAGTAAGAATTTTTTTAATTAAAAAAAAAAGATTTTTATTTTTTATATTATCACCATTAATGGACATCCTCGAATTGGGTAGAATGGGGTGTATTTATGCATGTGGTGCTGAAACTAAATTGGATAGAAATTGCAATGTATTACGAAAATTCTGGGCACTTCCATTCTTTATTTGAACAAAAACTCTTGACAAAATTAGAATGTCTTTTTCATACATCACATTAAAAATATATAGTTAAAGAGGATGACATTTGTACTTCCAAGCAATGCTGTGCATATAATGTTTTATTGCAAAATGACGATGATACAAAATTATGTAATAAGAATTCCACTGCTTTTAATTAAAAGATTGTGTGTTTGAAGATACACACACACACTATCCCAAGAGCAGAAATATTTTTTGTTTAGATGCATAAATAGACAGGAAGTTAGCATATGGATATGATTGATAAACTCTAAAAAAAAACGTGAAAAAACTTGTCGTGAAACCTTGAACACATTATCATTAATCGTAACACTAAGTTCAATCGCTAATAATATCCAGCCAGCTTTATTGTTTGATGTGCCACACCATTCTAATCAGACTAAAAAAAAAAAGTCACAATCTAAGTTTGATCATTCGTCAAATCAAAAAGGAACTCACTCGTCCACAAATGAACACATATTAGTACTATGTCATTTAACTGAAACACAACTTCACCAGTAACGAGTTACTTTGTTTTTAACTAGGCCAATTGTATATAAAATCCATGAAATGACAATCAAAATTTAGGTATATTATTCTTTAGTATATTAAAGATGGCCCGAAATTTGTTTTTTGCATTGTTAATTTCGGGTCCTCGACATTCCTTACATGAATGACATAAAAAAGCTATACTGTTTAAAGAACTCAGGTATGATTACTCTATTACTATGAAAAACTAATTTCGGCGAAGATGAGAAAGGTAGGCAATCTCGGCAAATAAAAATTATTGAAGTTTTGAATTTTTGCGAGCCAATTCATTCCATGTGGTTCCGTTGTATAGGATTAACTAATACTAATACTAAATACAGCTACGGTAAATTTGAATTATTTAATCATTGTTATAGCCAACCAATCACACTATGGCAAATGAAAAAATCATCCATCTATTGTTCATTTTTTTGTAACCTCAAAAGTGCGCCTAAATGTTTAGTCGTTTACTATTACTATTAATATTAATAAAAACAAGAGATCTACAAAGGTGTTAAATAAAAATCTATATTTATTCCTCTTAAAGCATCTTGTAAATTTTCTGATTTGTTATAATTTTGTAAAAAAATGAGCAATTTTTTTTAAATCAAACGCCTTAACGGAAATAATGGAATAAAAAATTCTTTCCAAAAAAATTTTTTTTAATCAATGACAATTATCATTATCGTTACCATTCATTCATTCAACATTACATAACGATATATACACAATAAATAAATACATATGTGAAAATTTTGATATTTGGTTAGTCTGTTCTTTATTTTAAAATAATTAATCTTCAATATATGTATGCATTTAGAAATACAAAGAAAGGGTCTCGACAACCATACATGCACTCAATAAATAATTTAATATTCTAGTAACATTTTTTATTTTTTTATTTTTTTTTTTTTTGATTACATTATATATATTATATATGTGGAGTGCTTAATAATAAAAAGATTTTTTTTGATATTCAGATTTTGCCAATAATGAAATAATGAAAATGATAAAAATGCTCAACCTCTATGTATGCTCATAAATTAGTGTGTGTGTGTGTGTTTATTTGGCAACATCTAAATTTGAAGTAATAATAATATTAATAACCTTTTTTTTGAAACTTATGAAAATCATAATTCTTATTATTATATTGGAATTGGCGATTGATTATATTATGCGCGGGAAATTAAATAAAACGAAATTAAAAAAATTAAAATTAAAAAAATTAAAAATTAAAATAAATTAAAAATTAAATAAATTAAAAATTAAATAAATGTTCGAGATGTTTTTTTTTGATATCGAAGTTGAAAGAATCACTATGTAAATAAATTTTAAGACTGTTGCCTCCGAAGCCCTGGGAAATTTAGTAAACGACTTGTGTAAATAGCTTCGTTATGAATTTTTTGTCTTTGGAATGCATATTTTTCGAGTTTGGAAAATTTTATTCCTTCTGCTTTATCAAATTCAATAGAAATTTCGGTAGGGGTTGGATCATTACAAATCTTTGTAAACCATGATCCAATTGTTTCATATAATTTCGAAGCTGTTGGTCTTTTTGAAGGATCATGATCCCAACATTGCTGCATAAGATCGTTATAACTCTTAGGCGCTTCTTTGCTTATCTTTGGCCTTTTTCCGTCTATTATTTTTTGCGCTAGCTCTTCGTTATGTGCCACATTATGAAAGGGTTTAATCCCTGCACCTAATGTCCACATCAAAATTCCAAAACTGTAAATATCCGATTCGTAAGTATAACAACGATCTAATAAAACCTCGGGTGCTATATAAGGAAGTACACCATATATGTTATTGTCGTTTTCGTCCTCTACTTTTCCTCCCGGAATATTTAATCCAACGTCGCTAATGCACGTGTATATAAAGTCATTTTCATTGTCTACTAAGATATTTCCTCCATGGAGATTCGTGTGGAATAATTTTTCTTGGTGAATATGGTCCAGACCATTGGATATTGACCAAAGTATTTCAACAATGTCGCGCCAACAAAGTACACCTTTCGATTCGTCAAGAAATTGATAAAGATTCCCGTTTTCATAATATTTCATCACAAGACAAAAACATGAGGTGTTGTCGCGTGTAATTCCAAAACAGTCAATGACATAATTGCTTCGTACACAACTATGTAATTTATACAACTAAATTAATTGTATCAACAAAAAATGATTTATTAATTAATCGATTTACATTATTAATTAATTAATTAACTGGAATAATTACACGATCGATAAATTCGCGAGATATATTTTGTGAATTGTTGAATCTTTTAATTGCAACCTTGATCGGTCCATTTCTTATGTAACAGTCCATGGTTTTTTCCCACAATAAAATAGGTCCGTCAATCCAATACGCCGAATAAACTGTGCTATATAATCCCGAGTTTTCATACTCGATAAGGTCAAATTCGTTCCATTTTATCCATTCAAAAAATTCTACTTGAGCAACTGCGTTAGTTTGTGTATATTTTATAAATTTATCTATTTCGACATTATTACTTGTCCATTGGCTGAAATTTCGTATAAAATATTGCTTTTCACAAATCATACAAAACTTGTACTTGATGTTAGGATTACCACATTCTAAACATTTTCTTTTGGGTTTAGTAATAGTAGGGACCTCTTTTTTCTCTTTATTAGTTACATCTTCAGGATTTTTGGCTTCTCCCTGAAGATTATGATGACTATCTGTCATTAATTTTATAATTCGAGTATATTATTGAATAAATAAAAATTACCGATTTTAATTTTATTCAATAATATACGAAAGGGACTCTATTACTACATTATATAATCGATTGTTTCATTGAAGCGCGATTAACCACATAACATTATATAATCAATAGATTGTGTAAAGCTTAGCCGAAATCAAAACTAATTTGGTAGATTGCACGTTGACACATATGGACACTCCTTTATCAAATAAAAAACGGGTTTAGTGTATTGTATGTATTGAAAAACGATCAACAATTTATAAATGAAGAATATTGTAAAAGTATCACTGGAGAAGAGTGAAGTATCTTATTAAAGAAAAAATTTTTTATTAGTGGTAAGAATTTATACAAGTTTATTAATCCTTTTCTTTTACAAAAAGAATCAATTGCTAATTAAAGCTTAGAGGTTTCCATGCATGGTTTTATTAACATTTTGTCTATTTTTTTTGTACTAATACTAATACTAAACAATGAAATGAGGATTTTCGTGCACATTTTCACACGAGAAATTAGAAAACGGTATAATTAGTACTATTTTAAGAACAATTAAAAAGAAAAATTAATTGTTGTGCTTCCCACGATAAGTGTGTGAGTATAAGATTTTACAATTAAATATCATTATCAGAAGTTCTTGATCGAAAATCTACCTAATGAATAAATGAATGATTATGTTGTGTGCGTGAATTTGAATTTTAAAATTCACGCGTAAAATAAATTAGCGATCATAACTTTGTATACTCGCCCCAAAAAATTTTTTAAAAATTACATCTTTAAAGGTTTAATTTCAATTTTGAATAATGGTAAATTTTTCCAATTGAAAAATATATTGATTAATTTTTTTAAAATATTTGTTAGATCAACAAGAAATATTATTGTAGAAATAAATTCTTAATCTAATTAAGCTAATAAAGGTTATGCCTGTATATTGCATCATCATTTATAGCAGCAAAGTACAGACAAAGTTCACATCATTTGAATATGACAGCCACCAAATGTTAAATGAGAATATTTGCATAATAATTGGTTACTTACATTGATTTTAAAATATTCTGCCTTTTAGGTGATCTTTAATTTATGTGACAATGATTTGATGACATGAATGAATTTTAATCACTTTTATAGCCAGTCGTATTAGATACACCATCACTTCCAAAATGATAATTATTTGATTTAGAAAGCGGTCTTAAAGTAGAAGTTTTATCACTAATATTATTTTCAATTTGTAAAAGTTATACAAGTCATGAGAATAATTTTGATTTACTTTTTTTGGTCAAAGTAATATTAATAATATTAATCTGATTCTTTATGCATTGCAAATTCTGTAGTTCCATTTCTATTTCTACAAAGTTTTCAAAAAGAAACTTATTTCTAAACCAATGTTTATTAGCAGTTTTTTCAAACATTCTTTGGTTTCAAATTCATCAATATCAATTATTTCATCATATGATAACTCATTAGTTTCATTGTTATGTTTGAAATAGCAGCATTTTCATCAAAAGGATTATTTCATGAAAATTGTAGAACCCCAAAATATATCCACAAAGGTTGGTGTTAGCAAATTTCATATGATGAATATGCAAACCTGACCTTATTTATTAATATTTCGGGTCCCAGATCGTTTTTGAGTCATTTTATTTTTTAAGAGTTGGAATTCTCTTCTATATCCAAAAATCTAAATCAATATAGAGAAGTTTTTAACTAGTGCAAATTTAAAACAGTTGACGAAGTGTAACATGTACTACGTCATAAATTTGTAAAAGATCTTCGATTTTGTCACGAGAAACTTCAGTAAATCGCGGGTTTAGGTGGGTTGCAAAAAAACATTTTTTAGGGAATTTGGATGTACTATTTAGTGATCTGCACCATACTTGAACCCACAGGTTCTTATGTTGCAATACAGGCAAACTTGATTTGGTCATTCATTATTTATTTGTACTTAAATAAATTGAGGGCGTTGTTGACGTATTAAATTTGTGCAACTTTGAGGTTTTAAATTCCTCCGTGGTAACGCGAAATATCAACGAGAAAAGTTTTAATTCTATCTATGATTTTGTTTTTTTTTGAGGGGAGGATTAAAAGGATCTACAAGACCAATTGACTATATTGGTGTCTTGAACCGTATATGGGGCATGCTACAACAAAATCAGACAAAGTGAACATTTATATTACCAAGAATTCAGGGATCAAATTTGTAATGTGATTATTAAAATCTCCCATTTGTTTGTTATCTTTGTTTTTTCCTTAATATCAAGTGATATAGAATTACTCCTATATAAAAATAATTAACATATCAGATCTACTATGGAACCCAAGAATTATAGTACTATCAGAAGTATTTTAAAAAAGGAACAAACCGAAAAAATTGCTCCTTACATTTTCAAAATAAATGATACTCGGACAATTGAAGCTTATCTAAGGAATGAAAGGATTATCTATGAAATTTACCAAGAAGAAAGAAAAATAATAAACATCAGGAAAATAAAGCGGAATGAAGGTGTGCTATTACCTAACAAAAAACAGAAATCTTTAGGAGGAAAATAATATGAAAAATGAAGTCTTATGGTTGAACAATTAATCTATTTTTTCCTTTTAATTCTTTTAGTAACATAAATCATAGCAATTGTAAAGCCTAAGATTAAAGTTATACCTACTATTCATAACCCAATAGATTTACCATCAAAATTTTCTTCATTGTTTGAAATATTGTTTTTATATTCCTCTGCAGCTTTGACAAAATCTTCATCTTTTAAATCTGAGGCAATATTTTTAAGTTGGTAGATATTGGGAGCTTGAGTATTTCTATTATGTTTATAATCAGGCATTACATAAATTTTTTAATAATCACATGATTATCATCAATAAAAATATCAAAATCTGAACAATTCATTCCAACACCAAGTGCCAATAATAATACACAATTCTTTTTAATAAACAAAATGTCATTTAAAGAATCAAGAAAATAACAAAGAATTTGAAAGAGGGTAAGTGTTTATCATAAGAATGGTGATGGCTATGCCACTTGTTGTCACTCTAATTATTTATTTATGAATTGTTTTTATTTTATTATTATCAGTAGTAATAAATGAGTGACGGCGAACTTGCCACATGAGCTTTTAATCGAAATATTTGAATATATATAATTCAGATAATTACAAAACATTATATTCTTGCACTCTGGTTAATAGACCATGGCACTACATTAGTATTCCGATTTTATGGAGAAACTCACTTTATTCTTTTGGGATCACTAAAATATTAATTAATTGTTTATTGGAAAAAGATAAGGATCACTTAACTAGAATGGAATTAACTTTAACTTTTGACCTATTGGAAAAACCATCATTATACAATTATGTACCAGAATTGATTTTGGCAATTCTCATTTTCATTTAGTGACAGAAAGTGGATTAGAATTTTTATGAAATAAATTAGTAGAATTTATTTTAGAACATTCAACAAATCTTAAAACATTTAATACTTACCAAACAGATCTATATTTGGTAAAAGACTATCAAATATTTGACAATTGCTTTCAGAATCCTCATGCTGAAGATAGTTTGGTTCAACTAATTGAAGTGCAAAATCAAATAAAGTGGTTAACAATTAATTCATTTCATAAACAAGCTTTATCAGATAATTACAAAAAAGCAATTCTAGCACATTCACAATCAATAATATATTATTCAAGTAATGGGTATAACAATTTAGATCATATATTAGTACTGACATTTAAAAAATTAAAGACTTTATTATTAAAAATTAATAGTTACAAAACAAAATATTTAAAAATATTTTATTACCAAACATTGAATTTGTGAAATTGAATATTTGTTATAGTTGGTCAATTCAGGGTTGGCAAGTGTGCGGTCCATTGATGGTCTATTGGTAGTCCATTGGGTCCATTGGGTCCATTGGTATAACACTAACCATATTTAGTATTTTAATAATGGCAATGGACCAGTCCAAAATCCATCAGTTCTCAATGGACCAATCAATTTGTCAACCCCGGATCAATTCTATCAGACTTGTCTGATTTTATTAAAATCAATGGAGGAACTTTAAGAAATCTAAAACTTTATGGTTTCCCAGACAATAATGAATCTTTAGGAGAGTTATTTCAATCAATAATACAATATTGTAAAAACCTATTAGACTTATCAACACAATATAAGTTTGAAGTATATGAAGAAATAATGAAAATATTTGATAGTTGTAACAAATTAGAAAGGATTGTATTTCCATTTGGATGAAATAGATGATTGTAATAGAACAGGGTTGGCAAATGAGTAGTCCATTGATGGGTCTATTGGTGGTTCATTGGCCCATTAGTATAACACTTTAACCATATTTAGTATTTTATTAATGGCAATGGACCAGTCCAAAATCCATCTGTTATCAGTGGACCAGTCAATTTGCCAACCTGGTTTGAAGTATATGAAGAAATAATGAAAATATTTAATAATTGTAACAAATTAGAAAGGATTGTATTTCCATTTGAATGAAATAGATGATTGTAATAGAATTATTGAAGTTCTAAAACAAACATCTCCGGAAAAAATTAAAATCAATATCAGTTGATAATAGAATTTTTAATTTTAAAGATAACTATTGGAAGGAAGATTACTAAGACAAATTAATAAAAAAATACGATTTTCATTGGTTGTGAATATTTTTTTTTACAATTATATCAATCTAACATTTGTAGAGAATATTAGCAAATAATTTGGTTAACAAAACATTGACAAGTGGTAAAGACAAATTTAGTCACTATTAGAGCTCTCAATCAGGTTGGGTAAAGAACTCGGCCAGGTAATCAATCACTTTACTTGAGACATTATAAAAATTCTGATGTTAAAAATTTTGGACCCTGAAATTTTTGGTAATACAAATGTTCATTTTGCCTGGTTTTGTTGCAAGCATGCCCCATAAAGAATTTTAAAAACAGGCGCTTCGTTATATCGAGCGCCGACGTATGTAATTAATTGTGTACCTGCCTCTTTTTCTAAAAGTATATACAACGTGATACAATCACTAATATATGTAATTGTTTTCTATTCTGTGTTTCAAAAAATTTCTTGGGGTCATAGAGTTAAGAAACCCCTTCTCTCTCTATTATTATTATTATATTTATTCGTTAATAAATAAATAAATAAAAGACATAACTTAAAAATTTCCGGGGTGTATAAATATTACTCAATAAATTCACCAAAAAAAAAATTTTTTTTTTTGTCAAAAAAACTAAAAAACTAAAAAATAAAAAAATACAATAATATTAGTAGCAAGTAGTTGTAGTTTATATCTACCGTCTTCTACTTTTATTTCATTTATTCTCAAAAAAAGATAGACATACATACATCAATCTTTATTTTTTGTAACTCTTGTAAACTAAATCATAAAATAAAATCTTTCAACAACAACAAAAAATTAAAAAAAGCCAATAATAGATGGCATCTTCTTCACCTCAACAAAAATCACAATCAATAACGGAATCACCTCAACAGCAACTCTTGCAAGCTGCTGATTCTTCAACTAAACCATCAGTTCCTTCTCCTACCTCCTCAATATCACAGCAACAACCACAACATTTAACTCTTGAAACAAGTAGCCTTGCCACTCCAAGTAGCAGTAGTGCCACTACCAACATCGATGTCAACAACACCAACAACAACAGTATTAATAGTTTATATCATGCTAAACTTCCAATCCAACGTCGTCAAAGTGGTGCAAGCTCACAACTTAAACGTTTACTTAGTTTAAAATCAGAATTTAATTCTTCAAGCACGTCTTCATTTTATTCTGATTCAGAAACAGAGTCATTAGAAACAGATTCTGATGCTTATTTTACAAACGATGAACTTCCACCGTCCTCGTTTACCTTTTCTTCTTCCGTAAAACGCCGACCTTCTTTTCCGAGATCTCCTACTACCATTAGATTCTTCCCAGATTTATCAATTGACGCTCAAGAAAATCATTTAAGTGACTTATATATAATCGATGAAAGTTCACCTGAATTTGCTTTTCCAAAAGTTAAAAGAAAACTTTTAAAAGATCTTGAAGAGGCAAAACGTAGAGCAGATCAAGCTATCACAGTTCTATTGCGACATTGGTACCAATCACATAGATATCAAGAATTATTAAGTGAATTATCGTATGATGGTTGGAGTGATGACGAGGATAAACAACCACTTGTTGTAATTCGTAGAAATAATAGTCAAAGAACATTAAGTACTAACAAACCAGTTTCGACTAATAATAACGATAGTAATAATAATAACAGAATAATTAAACAAGTAAAACCAAAACAACCAATCAGTGATACAGATGATGAAAATTCATCACCAAATAGCAATAATAATGATAATAACAACAGCAACAGCAATAATAATGCTATTAAAATTAGCACTAACAATAACAATAACAATTATAAAAATAGGCTTACTCCTGTTGATAGATTAAAATTCGAAAATATTGATGAACAATACTATGGTGGTGATGGTAATAAACAAGAATCTGTATCATTACATGGGGATATTACAAGCCCAAAGAAGATATCGATTAAAAAGAAACGCACAGAACGCAGATTTATTCATTCAAATAGTTGGCCACCTTGTGTTTTGGGTGAGTAGGCTATTTAATATTATTTTAAACAATAACGGTGATATTAATATTGAATAGTAATTAGAGATTAACAATATTGTACAAAAAAAGATAATGTTTACAATACCATATTGACATTATTTTGGTTTGGATAGATTAATAATTTAATGAAAAATGGGAGAAAAAATCAAAATTTATTCAACATGTATATTGGAATATTTACACATTTCTTAAAAATAATTAATCAAAAAAAAAAAATCAATTCTTTTTTTTCTTAATAAGCCTCCTCTCATACTATATTATTGACACGTATCGATCGTATTGCTAAGAGGATACTTAAGACTGCTATACATGATTTAGTACATTATAATGTTGCCGTGGAAATTATGAAGGAGCTTCAAGAACTTATGGAAACTCAGAAAAAAATGCCTGTCGGTAATGCTGATGCTGAAGAATTATTAACGAGACTTGTATACACTTTTGCTGACGTTGCTAGAGCTGTTGATGCAGTGGTAAGTAAAAATTTTTTTTTTGATGATGTCAAATAGTTTTTTTTTGATATCAAAAATGAAAATAATATTAACTAAAAAAGAATGATTTTTTTTTTGAAAGAATCAATCATACGCTGAAACAAATGGTGATTTATCGTTAGAAAATAACAATAAGGAAGAAGATACACCACCACCTACTAATTCTGATTGGTTAATTTCATCGCCGTTATTCACACCTTCATCACCACTAACTCCATCTTCTTACTCACCACCACAGACATCACTTCACAGTTATCATCAAAGGCATAAATCATTTGATAGCGTTAATAATAAGAAGAACCAAAGAGATGGTAACAATACAAAAATCGCACCCAATTATCTCCCAGTTCCGCAGCAGCAGCAACAACAGCAGCAACATCAGCAACACTCGTCTCCTTTAGCTAAACATGTGTTGACACCACCAGTTCCACAGATTAAATCATTACGAGATTCTTTCGAACAAATTTATGCGGCAGCAAATGAATTGGTATTTGAATCACCTATCACATACATTCCTCCTCCTCATTCAACTGTAGATGATAATAGTTTAACATGGAGTAGTTTAACAAGAAAGCAAGTAGATATGTTGTTACAAGAAGAAATGAATCGTGAAATAGACATTGGTATAATAATGAAACAACAACAAGATGGCAGTAGTGATTTAGAGGGTCGTAAGAAATCCAAAAAGGTATGCAGTTTTAAAAGCATTATAAATATATGTGTGTTTATTGTTTGTTTTATTTTTATATATATTAACTTTAAAAAAAACCTAGTCCAAACAAATGATGAATTTCTTCAAATCACTCAAAAACGCATTCCATAGTCCTACATCCTCTACTTGTGTTTCACCAACCGGCTCGCCAACAAATTCTTTAGTTCAACCAAGTCCTGTACGCAATACTCATCTACCAAGACCACAAATGCCAGAAAAAACTCGTACTCTGTCATTTGACTCTAATGCATTCTCATTGTCTCGTCGTAGTTCATTTGTGTCAATGAGAGGAGATAAAGATACTTTGCATAGTACTAGCCTAATGAATCATAGTTCATCTGTGATAATTACTAACAGCAATCATGGTGGTGGTGGTATAACGTCAGGGTTCTCAATCCCACATGATTATATACTATGTCGTATATGTGAAGAGATGATTCATAGTCATGAATTGGATGCTCACTCGAGAACTTGTGCTATAACAACAGAATACGCATTTAAATTACAAGAATGTGATGGTAGATTACGTAGATTGATTAATGATATGACCAAAAAAAAATCAGAGATCATGAAAGGAGTTTGTATTCAATTCATTATTATTTATTATTGTTATCGTTATTAATGTAGTTTTAATACTTATTTATTTATTTATTTATTTATTTATTAATGATTTAGGAAAAAAACCTCCCCTTCCAAGATTATTCCAATATCTCTAATATTAAAGATGCAGAAATGATGGAAGGCTATGGCAAAAAGTAAAGAATCCTTCATTCAATTATTGAATTTGAAAAAATGTTTTTAATAATTATTCTAACAAAGTACATCGAATAAAAATATTTAGAGCTGCTAATATTAAAGAAACCGCAAATAGACGTGATGCTATGAGAAAAATAGAAAAATATGCAAGCAAGCTGGGAAGACTTGTCGAAGAAATGGAAAAGAATGCCACAAGAGATGAAAATATTTTAACATATGGTAAACGTTTATTACATGTTGTTAAGGAGAAACATGATACATTTCAATCCTATCATCAAAAATTACGTGCTACAAATGCAATATCTAATATCATGAATAATAACAATAACAATAATAACAACAGCAATATTTCCACATCTATTACACAAGCCATTTCATCAACTGATAAAGAAAATAGCAGTTATAATAATAGTTTAAAAGTCTCTCAAAAAATTTCAAGAAAACAATCAATCTCAAGCCGTATGCTATCAACGTCTGCATCAAACAAATCATCAAATAGTTTAACATCCTCTAAAAATTCACGTAATAACGGTGGCATTAGTGGCGGACAAAGAGAGGGTGGTAGTGGTAGTTCTTCAAATCATAGAAGACATGATAGCATTGGTTCAATATCATATGATTCAGATATTACGCCACCACCGCCTCGAGGTGGCAAAAAATTAATTTCACTTTTTGCTGCAGTGCTTCGTGGTGGTAATAGTCGTTCTGGAAATAATAGTTCTAGCAAAGAAACTACTGGAATACCAATAGCTGCTAACGGAGATAATAAAGGAGTATGTGTTTTTAATTTATTTATTGAAAAAATCATTTTTAAAGCATTTTTATTTATTTGTTTGATTTTTTTTTAAAGGGTGCCAAAACTAAAATTCCTAGCATACAAGATTTTGAAATAATAAAACCAATTAGTCGAGGTGCTTTCGGAAAAGTATATTTAGCACGTAAAAAAACGACAGGAGATCTTTATGCCATCAAAATTTTAAAGAAAGTTGATATGGTTCGAAAAAACATGGTAAATCATGTTTTGGCGGAAAGAAGAGTGCTGAGTTTGTCGAGGACACCATTTGTTGTGAAACTCTATTATGCATTTCAAAGTCAAGATTATTTATATTTGGTTATGGAATACCTAATCGGCGGTGATTTATCTTCTCTACTTCAAAATTTTGAACTTTTTGACGAGGAAATGGCAAGAATGTACACAGTCGAAGTAATTCTAGCTCTTGAATATCTTCACAATAATGGTATTACACATCGTGATCTCAAGCCCGACAACATGTTGATTACATCTGAAGGACATATTAAATTAACAGACTTTGGATTATCAAGGATTTCTATACCTGAAAAAAGCAATATGGCATTTACAAAAGAGGATGAGTCATTGTCGATTATATCAGATAAAAAATTGGGTTCAAAGCCTACAAGAACTGGTAGTATTGATTCTCGATCTAGTTCCGTCGTACACTCCAGACCAGTATCAGCAATATTTTCTAACGAGAATCCAAAACAGCGCATTAGTCATGTTAATTTCAGTTTGGATTCCAATAACATCAGCAATAATAATAGCAATAATAATATTATTAATAATAGTAGCGTTAACAATAATACTAACAACAGCAATAAGAACAATAATTCCAAAAACTCACTAAAACAAGGTTCATCGAAATTGTTTGGAAAAAAACAGAATCGTCAAAGCTCAAAAGCATTACTGGGTACACCAGACTATTTGGCACCGGAATTATTACTTGGCATTGGACATTCTACAGCAGTAGACTGGTGGTCGCTTGGTGTTTGTTTATTTGAATTTTTGATTGGATATCCGCCATTTAATGACGATACACCACAAAAAATATTTAAAAATATTTTAGATCATAAGATACAGTGGCCACCAGAAGAGCTTTTATCACCACAAGCAAAAGATCTCATCACAACACTTTTAAATCAAGATCCTGCCAAACGACCAACAGTTGCTGAGATCAAAGCGCATCCATTTTTCCATGGAATTGATTGGGACCATATTCGAGATCAGCCAGCACCATTTGTTCCAAATCCGGAAGATGAACAAGATACTAGTTATTTTGATGCTCGTAATAACCGTGCAGATATTCGTAGATTATCAGCTGGTAATATTGAAGAATTCGCGTTAGGTAGGATGACAGCACCTGGTGATCGTAGATCGATGATCCTCTCTGACGATGACAATAATGAACAATCTAACAACAATAACTGTGTTTATCCAATATCATCAAGTGTACAACCACCAAATCTATTATTATCAACAGTCACTGCAAATTTGATTGATAATATTTCATTACATTCACCAACATCACCAACAGTTTTAAACAATAATAATGAACTATCATCAAATAACAGTAGTTCTAGTATTGGTAATAATGGTAAAGGTAATAATAGTAGTAGTGACAATAACAGGAGCAGTAACAATAGTGGTAACAATAGTGGTAACAATAATGGTAGCAATGATAGTAATAATAATACTCAACGTCATTCCACATTAAAACCACCAACACAATCTGAGGAGATTCCAATTAAACATCATCAAAAACGAAGACCATCACTTTTAAAATTAACTGCAGGGGGCAAGTCAAGGAAGCAATCTATCAGTGGAACCAATAGTGATAGTTCATCATCATCATCATCATTGACGGCAACCCCAACATCAACTGGGCCAATTCCGATGACAGGCAATACATTAATATCACCTTCATATAATACACGATCAAGAAGATCAACATTGGTCGGATCACCTAAAATGTATGATATGGAGCAGACTATAGCATCAGCTTATGAAGTACACGCAGCAGGAAATCAAACGAATCGAAATGAGACAGAATTTGATGCTTTTGTTTATAAGGGAGTATCGGTTCTAGGCGATGTAAATCGTGATGTTTTATCAGGAGGCACTGGTAACAGTAATATTTAAAAGAAAATTTTTTATTTATTTCATAAAAAAACAATAGCCAGCTATAACAGCATCATCAGGCAATATCATTGCATCATCGCAGTAAGAGATAAATTTAAATATATATAATATGTATATTCTAGTAGATTTTTAGATTTGTTTAAAGGATTTTGGATTTTTATTTTGTTGTTTTTTATATTGTAATTGGACTTTTTTTCAATTCATTACAAATTATATAAATATACACATTCAACGTGTGTATATTTGTATGTAACATGTATATTTATTTAGAGTTTCACTTATTTTATAGCTTCACATTTTCTTTGTTTATAGTTAATTTCAAACACGCAAACATCTATTCACCAAAAAAAAAAAAAAACAAACATTCTGTAGTATAGTTGGTTTTTCATAAATTTTTTCATTTCTAAAAAAAATTTTGATTGTGATTATTATTAAAAAAAAATAATAATTAATAAAAAAATTTTTTCTTAGATGAATCATATATATTTGGTGAATAATATATGTTGATGGTTGAATTAGAATTTTCCATAATAAAAATTTATTTTTTTTTAGAATTTCTCTTAAAAAATTTGTACAATAAATAATAAATTAATTGATTAATCAATATCAAAGTGAAGGAAAAAAGGTTTTATAATAAAAGTAAGAAAAACAACTTTTTGAAATCATTAGTAATATAAATATATTAATATTCCAAGTCGTAACATGATTTTGCAATCTCGTAACAGAAAATATCCAGAAGCTATATTAATTTTCAACTGGTGCGTTACAAATTGTAATAAAAATAATCGAACACATATGGGACAAAACCAAGGTGAGCACTTATATACCAAGGATTTCAGGGATCATAAATTCTAACAACACAATTGTTCTGCTGATTTTACAAATTATCTTGCAATTTAATCCCATGCTTACATTTTTTTTTTGGAACCAGCAACAAAATCAAATTATGAAGGTGCTAAAAATTAGTAATAATACTTATCTAAGAAAAAAATTGTTGGTTGGGCAGTATCTGCATTAACCCAATTTAAGCAAGAAAGCAAAGGGTCTGACAACTTTCCAGTTTCATAGGTAGAAGTAGTAGCAATGAGAATAAATTTTGTTTGATAAATCCACTTCTTTATTAAATGGGGTGAAAATTTGTATTAAACCACGAATATCACTATTTTGAATTATCGAAAAAAAAAAATACTTGAAGGTTTTGCAATGCATTAAACATTAAATTATTCTGCTTTTATTTAATATCGCATCTTTAGTTCTATATAAACCCAACCAATTGGGTTTTCTCATTTCAATGTTCTTGCCCAAAATAAATTCTACAAAGATATTTATTTCATGGTGTGACCACCTTTTTCTTCAATGATTTTGTGATGATTGATTGCTATTATTATCAGTCATCTCAACATGATTGTTGATATCATCTCATTATTGTCAGTAATCTCAAAGTGATTGTTATTATCGGTATCATTATGATTGCCATTACGATTATTATTATTGGTTATCTCGACATGGGATATACAGAGAGTCAGCACCAAGTGAGTACTGTACTGAATCAAAGTTCAGTACAGTACTCACCCTTGTATAAACTGTGTAACATACTAAGAATAATTCAGTACACACTTGTCATTTATAACTATTAAGTTATCTAACCATTTAATATTAAGATTACCATTGAAAATAATTAAAGTGACATGAAAAAATATAATAATTTTGTTATCCCAAAAACATTTGCTTTATTAAGTAAAATTAATCTTCATATCAAATATGATATACTGAAGTTTTGCCACATATAAATAACAACTTATTGTTTTACAAACTGACTACAAATAGCAAGTTCTAACAACTTTTGTGGTATAAGTAAAAAATACAACATATAAAAGGTAAGTAAAGCTCCGAAACGGGCCACTAGCCTTGTGTATTTAATTATGTATTGCGTCATGAATTGTCTTGAATTACGTATTAGTATTGTGTCATGAATTGTCTTGAGTTACGTATTGTGTCACGAATTGTCTTGAATTACGTCTTGAGTCATGAATCGCCTTGAGTTATGTCTTGAGTCATGAATTGCCTTGAGTTACATCTTGCGTCACGAATTGCGTCCTACATCTCTTGCATCATGAATTGTGTTTTGCGCCATGCATAACACCAATTGCAGCTTTTAAACCACTATAACTGTTTCGCCTTTTATATTTAATTAATTATTATTAATTTATGTAATCACAAAATTTTCTTATTAACTCGAAATCAACCCGAAAATTTCGGGTCGGTCTCGGGTTAGCCTTTAAAACATTCGGGTTGACACTTAACCCGCCCGAACCCCGACCCGTTAGGAGCTTTAAAGGTGAGTGCTGTGCTGAACTTTGAAAAACAAAATTTTCAGTATGGTATATACTCACTTAGCTTCAGTACGGTGCTGACTTTCTGTGTATCCATGGTAAATTTTTCTTTCTATTCATTGCTTCTTGATTCCTTGGAATTCTTGCTTATTAACTTTTTTAGCATAGAGTATTCTTCAACAATTTTATGACAGGCTTGCTCTAATTTCTTTGCCCCTTTTCCTGAATTCAAGTATCAAAAATTCCAAAACATCATCTGAGACATTTTTTCAATTACATCTTTTCTTTGAAGTATAGCTTTCCAACCTTTTTAAATCCACTGGACCTTTTAATTTTGTGGCCAATTTTTCTTTATAATTTACTGCAGCAATGTAGGCTGGATCAATTTTTTCATTAAAATAAGAGTTAGTAAAGCTTTCACTATTTTCAACTTAAAAAGTTTAATCACATCTGCCTGAATTTTTTCATCTTTCACTTTTTCTAACTCATCAAGTAAAATAATTACAATTCTTCGAAGGTATTTATAAGCAAGATTATTCAGAATTTTACAAGGCGAGACTGAGGATAAAGAAGTTATCGAAGATATGGAAATTAACTTTGTTCAGGATAAAGATGTAATAGATGTTCCAACTGCGAGAGGCAAAATCAAATGTTTGACCATCACAGTTGACCCTGGCTCTAAACTTTACTTATGTCTAGGGACATTGCTGAACGTTTCGGTTTAAAAATTGACAAAAGTCCAGCACAAGAAACCAGAGGGCATCACTTAAAGTTTTCACAAAGGTAATCTTTCCAGTTCCAGATAGACCAGAATAATAAATCACTTTACTTTGAGGGTGAAAGTTCCCTTTGAATATTATATAGAATGTGTTATGGTTTACAAATGTTTCTTTTTCCTTATAAAACCCAACATGCTTATCAATTATCTTTTTGACTTCCTCGTTCAAGACATTTTTTAATTTTTTTGTTCTGTGAAATTCATGATTACCTTTTCTCCTTAACACCTATATAAAGCATAAATACCAAAGTTAGACCAACTAGAAACATAATACTCGAGTTTTTTTAATATACTCCCTATAACCAATTTTATTAGTCTCCAAAGAAGAAAGAAAGTTTGCTAATGGAGTGATTAAAGCTCTGAACCAGGACTAGAAGTAGCAATAGTACTTTAAAAATCCGGATAAACAATGGATAATAACTCAGAGCTTTGCTTGAGAGTAGAGGCAGAAAAGTTAATATAATTAATTCCTTCAACAGAATTCTTTTTTGTTACTTTTTTTGGTCGGAAATTAAACAGTAGTAGTAATTGTCCGTTTGGTTTTTGCCCACAGTTTAGGCAATTTTAAGTTTTGCCAATTTCGTCAAAAAATTGAGAGAAATCAGGCCAAAATTACTAAACTATGGATTAGTTTCAGCCACCATCACTAAGGAGAATCTTTAGCAATGGTCGGCCAATTAAAATATTAAATTTTTTATTTTTATATTTTTAAATATTTAATATCGAATGGAATGCTTAATAATGGTCAACATCCAACAAATTCTTTACAATCAAGATATAAAACGAATCTATTCCTCCAAAGGAAAGTACTGGAGGACACAAAGTCGTAATAAATAAATATTTTCGTCTGCCATCACACCTTTTCTTGTTTATCTGGGCGGATGACCAAAAACATTCAATTTTCAGAATTTTAAGAATCTGTTAAGTGCGCTTGGAAAAAGGGCATTTTTCATAAGCGTCTTTCCTCTCTCTCTTTTTTTAATAATCAATCCCCCTGCCATTTAACAATGTTTGCACAACATCTACCAAATCCAATCCAAGAATCCTATATCTCCACTAGTTAAACTATTCCTTTTTTCGTACTAATGTTATTTTAGTAGACAAGCGCTCACGCCATTTAATTTTTGATTATCATCATTATTATAATTGAATTCCGTTATTTTTTCGATTGATAAAACGTTAGGAGTGTAAAATTTTGTATAAATATTATTCAGTACTTGTTATATAAGCTTTATGTGCGAGATTTGAGTAAGTGTTTAAAAATCTTGTCCAAATACATCTGTCCAGGTATTTTATATACATTGTATATGTGTATGTGTATGCATATATAAATATTAGATTATATTATTTTTGATTTTCTATCAACATTTTATTTTCAAATTCTGCTAATAATCTAAAGTCATCCATATATGCAGCAATAAGATCGTGATGTACCTATTATCAATGATAATAATAACATAAACAAACATTAAAGATATTATCTTTTCCAATTTTATTTTAAATAAACAATTATTTACTTGTGTGGGTGTTCGTTGAGTGATTCTAATATTTTTGGCTCTATATGACCTTCTTCTGCGTTTATAGTCACGTTGTTCAGCTAATAATTCTTCGTGTGATTTTTGTCCTTGATTTTGTTCTTGTTATTTTTCAAAAAAAAAAAAATTAATCATAATTATTATAATTATTTTATTTATTTATTTATTTTACCTTTCATCTTTTGTATTGCGTCCCATATTTCATCAAAGTTTTTATAAGGGTCATTATTTAATTGATTATTTTCAGAACGAATCTTATCAGCTAATTCAATAATTTTTGTGTATTCCTCAAGTCTTTGATCAACTGAAAGACTTGATCCTACGCCAATATTTGAAAATCCTTTTGCCAATGTT